AAAGTGGACCATTGTAAGTGGGACAGCAGTCACACAGGGAAAGCAGCAGGCCTCCTCCATCTTCACTCCACATGTTTCCAGTTTCTCTTCAGTTTGAGACGTCATCGGGTCCCAACCAACCCCGTGAAAAACATTCTGCTGCTACTCATTTCCTGGATGCTGCTCTTCAGCCCTTCTCTCATCTCCTGCGTTCTTTTGTTTCCAACCTTTTCAAAAATCACTCCAAGTCATTTTCATTGTGAGACGAGGCGAGAACCCAACCATGTTTTTGTATGAGTGTGAGTGTGTGTGTGTGTGTGTGTGTGTGGTGGTTAAAATAACCTCTGCTGTAAATCATTTATCTGTGCACTTTGTTTGGAAAGAAGAGGTAGGTAGAGGTGTAGCACTGAAAGAGCTGAATAAATGAAGACCCTCCTGTGTCTCCCTGCTGAGCTGCCATGCCACATTTTCACTGCTCAAACCCTCATCACCAGTTTCACTGCCTGACTCTACCTTCATTTTCTGCAACCATTCTCTTGTTTTCTACTTTTTCATATTTTCAAACCTTCTCCCCATGCTTAGATTTTAACTCTACGTCTTCTGTTCACAGTAAAACGATCTGTCAAACTCAGAGGCCGTCAGTCTCGGGGTTCTCACGAGACTGTAGCGGAGAATAAAACATTCATGGGTTAGTTGTGGTATTTGTAAACCTGTTGCAAACTTTACGCAGTCTGGGTTTTAGCAACAAATGTCTGAAAAACTTGATTTTGAATTCTGAATTGATCCAGAAAAGGCTACAATCATACTGCCATAATGTTCTACTAACCGGATGTAAACAAGCAAGCTTGGTGATGCAGTTAGACAGTATTTTGATCTATAAAATGAAAATAGATTTGTATCTTGGCTGAATTTCCTTAAACTGGTGTATAACCGTTCTGTTGGAGCGCTGTGTAACCAGCACAAGCATGTGGATGTTCACCTGTAAAGAAGACTGAAAGCTGGTGGTGCTAGCTCTGCTATTGTTAGATACCTACGGCAAACCAGATTGACATTGTTTACTTTCAGACTTTGCGATTCCTCCCCAAATTTGGAAGTTTTAGTGATTTAAAACCTAAATAAACCGGGCTCAGCTTTCAAAGAACCACAATTACCCAGATATTTTTAAACTCTAGGTTTTGGTGAATCTCTTCAAAGTCTAAAGGAATGATTCAAGGGGGAAAAGTGGAAAAATATGATTGAATTTACTTTAAATCAATGCAACAACATCCCCTTTCTCTGAGTGAACAATCATAACCTGCTCATATACAGATTAGTGTGACCCTGTTCTCTACATTGGCTGTTGTTCAAACCCAAAGTCATATCTATAAAACATCAAAATATCTATATCAGTGAAGAAACTGCAGTGTGGGAGAACTCTGATGGGTTCAGAAAGGGCAGGTTCAGTATTTTGGGCTGCTTTGGATACAGTTTCATACACACAGCCTCCACTGAGTCGTCTTAATGTCCTTAAGAGATTTTACAGTTAGAATACTGAACTCACTCCATATGCTGGGATTTATCAGGATCTTGGCCTTGTTGAAAGAAGTCAGAGTCGCCACACACCACGCTGTCTGCTCAGTGAATAGCACAGCCTCGGCTGCCTCAACTTATCGTTCCTGGCACAACTTTCTCCGCAGCATTCACCACAGAGTTTACACTGAATTTATCAGGCGATCAGCAGCGATTCTGAGACTCTGAGAGAATCTGGGCAAAGTTTTGTTTTGCAAATCTCTGCATACAAGAAAAAAAGCATCATTATTATGTTATGAAAAGCTCCAGATTTCTATTATAGATTATACATTTTACAAATACAAACTGAAACACTATTTAAAACTTTATTTTTACCTCCAAGGTGGGTTTGGCATTGGCATTGATGAAAAAAAGATAATGCAGACTGAAAATGTGACAGCGGCATTGGACACACTTTTTATTGAATATACATCCTAACAGGTTAAATTTAAGGCTCAACTGCTCAGAATCTTAATACACGTGGAATTAGGATTAGTCTTGTATGGAAAAATATAGATTAATTATGTCATTAATGTTAAAACTTTTCATAAAACAGCGCTATAACTTAACTGTTTTTCTAAAAGAGACAGCAGGGGGTCTTGTTTGGGCTTAACCGAGTGAGATTTTGGGAGTGAAATAAGGAAATCATTAAGTGTTGTTGCTTTAACACCAACGCCAAAATCTACATGCTCCATCAGCCAAATCTATCAAACCATGAAAAAGAAACACTTCCTGAAGTTTGTTTATAAAAATAGTCTTAATTTTGGCTTAATTTAGTCGTGCAATGACTGTGTGTTTGGGAGAGTTGAGTGTGTTTCAAATGGTCTGACATTTATTGTAACCTCATAACTGACCATGTTAGACACACAGGAGGACGCACACGTCAAACTCTGACAGGCTTAAGTTAAATAAGGAACACTGATCGGGATTTCACTACTCAAGATTACTAAAGATGACTTGTACACAAGCGTTGAAGCTGAAGAAGAGGAATTGCACTAAAGCAGGAAGAGTTTGTGTGTGTGTGTGGGTGTGTGTGTTTTGTTTCGGACTGATTCTTTTCAAGCCTTATTGTCAAATGTGACGCCTTGGCCGATATTGTGCTTTTTCACACATTCTTTGCTTTGTGTTTTTTAAATACATCATTATGATTATACTCTGTACTGTTGTTTTTCTTTGCACCCTTTGTCTGTCCTGTGACACTCAAACAGATGCAGACCTGATGTAGTGAAAACAAAGCTGACCACGCACTCTGACCGCAAATGACACCCAAGGACTCAAAAAGACCAAAAAAAAAAGGTTCTTACAAGATTGTTTCAACTCCTGTCAAACACGTGAAAATATCATTACATATCAAGGAAGCAGCTCTAAGCAACAGGTGGTTATTGACGTAATGGATTAGCCAGTAAATGGGTTGATTAACATATTTGAACTTTTGCTTAAAAAGCATCGCGACGAAATTAAAAGAAAATCAAAAAAAAGTTCGACATGATCTTATTGCCTGAAAATCTCATGAAAGGACCAAATCCAACACTTTACTAACACAACTAACTTGTGTGGTTAACTTGTGAAAACCCTTCCCAACAGTCCATTTAAGCTCCACCACCCATATCTGTCCCGTACCGAATTTCCCTGCGGTATAGATAAAGTATTCTGATCCCAATCCCATTTCAACACTTTGATTTCCTCCATCATCCATTTTCATCCATCCAACTCTGTGGCAGTAAACTCCAACAGTCCATTCATGCAGTAAAGTCTCTTGCCCCGAGTCTCTGACATCATGCCGACGTCACGCCGACATCATCACCATCTATATCTATAGGGAGGAAGCCCAGGGGAAACCTGGGCGGTCATCGAGTCGCTGGGACCGACGTTGATTTTGAAAAATGAGTGTTCTGTATTTGTATTTTTACTGAACTAAAAAAATAAAATTAAAGTATCTGTAAATATGTTTAAACTGAGACACAAATTCAATAAAGATGTTATGAAAAGTGATCAGAAACCAAGAGTTTCTTTTGTCTTTTGTTGTTTTTAAATGAAACTACTATCTCTGTGTGGAGGATTGTTTGACCACAGACAGTTTGGGGGTTTGTAGCTATGTGTCAACTTTGAATATTGGGCAAAAATTGGACCATTTGGAGCGATTTTAAAGACTTTTTTTCATATGTATGCGGTAGGGGATCCTGGTCAGTCAACTTTGTCATGTTACTAAAAGAAATCAAATTTAAAGTTAATTGCGGTCAAACACACCGTAACACCGAGAGATGAATGTTGCCGCCCACTTGCTTCTCTAGTTACACCAGGGTCCTAGCCACCAAACATCTTTTTGACTTTGCTTAATTTCTTTAGCAAAGAGACGAAACACAACTCACCTACTCTCTTCCAGCAGCGGCTTGTTTGTCTCGAGACCTCAGGCCAGTCCATTATGGACTGCTGCAGGGTGACGCAGCTCAAGGAAGAACATTTATGAACATTACTTAATTATTTCTTTAAAGTAATTACCAACATATTAATCATTTTGAACTTCAGACGCAGTAGGTACTCTGCCTTAGAGTCTTGGTCTGATTGCATTTCCATGAAGTAATGATCATAAATGTTCTTCCTTGAGCTGCGTCACCCCTCAAAAGTCTGTATTGGACTAACCCGAGGTCTCACTACAAATTAGCGGCTGCTGGAAGAGAGTAGGTGAGTTGTGTTTAGTGTCTTCGCCAAAGAAATTAGGCAAAGTTAAAAATGATGTTTGGTGGCTAGTACTATGGCTGGGACCCTATATGCACTGTTGATGGAGTTAGGTGCTGTTCTGAGCATTATTTGTGGCCCTAGAGTGGTGTTTTGGTTGAGGTTTGTTTATGGCTCCTCAGACCGCTGTGTATTGCTATTGTGCGGTCATTACTAAAATTGATGTAACTAACCGTGTTACGGTGTGTTTGACTCTAAATTAATTTTACACTGGAATATCCCTTTAAGTGGGCAGTTTTTTGGACTTCATTACTGATTGGCTGGCGGTAGCAGCTTATTAGTGGCACAAGATAAAATTTTCTTTAGACTTCTTGAACAGATTTCAGTGATTCTTAAGTTTCTTGAACCATTGAGAACTAGAGTGTATTTACTAACAGAAACTGTCTGATTCAGACAAAAAATCCTAAAAAAAAAAAAAAAGTACCGAAAATGTAAACTAACGACTCAGCAGAAAGCATTTCAAACCTCCATCAAAAGCAGGAGTGTGGTTCTCTGTCAGTTTTGCTCAGACTTGTTTGAAAGAACAAAAGTTATCTGCTTTCTCCTCCTCAGCCTGCTGTCACATCCCTGCAGGCTGCTGGCAGGAAGCTGCTCAGCTTTTTGGACAAACACACAACAGCTTCTTCCAAATTGGCTGTTCACAGACTAATAAGCACCTTTCTTTGTGGCAGGCTTTGTTTGTTCACAGACTTCAGTTCTTTTTTTTTTTTTTTTTGCTGAAACTGCATCTGTTAATGTTGAAAAACATTTCTCTGCTTTTACCTCAACACACAATGTTCCCATCTGAGCCAACTCAAACTATAATTAACATTTTTACTCATTTGTACTTCAGCTGAGGTGTGAAGTGAACCTGAGGAGCTGTCGTTACACCCAGGTTTATAGCTGTGCACTATAATTTACCCATGAATATAACTTGTAAGCCTTTTTAATTTTGACTGAACTTGAGAGAATCAACTTTGTACTGATGTGATCTCTGTCAAAAATGACATTTCTTTGATTTTTTTTTTTTTGTCCACAGGATTGTTGAAGAAAGAGTGAGTTGTTAACAAATAAAAAGGGTGAGATGATGGGTTGCAATATTAAATTAAAAAATTCATCAAAATTGAAGAATTTTTTAGAGTTTTTAGGGTTAGATGATATATTTAATAAAAGCTTAAAAAAAACAGACAATAACACCAGAAATTAAATAAACACTTAAAACTTATCACACTATACCATAGATATATCACAAACTTCTTTTAGCTTCAGTCTTGCATGTAAGTAACTTATAGAGAAACGCAGTTCAAATAAACATTTCTCTCATGGGTGGTGCTGCCAAAATTACCCAACATTACACGTGCATTTTTATTCTGTCAAAAAAAAATCAAGTATCTGATATTCAGCTACAGCAAGAGATTTGGGATTACTTCAACGAAATATACGAATATAATGCAGTTGAGCCCCAAACAGAGCCCTTAAACAGAAACCTTTATCCTTTGAGTGGTCATGCATTGATTTTGTTATTTCATATTCACTAGAATCAGTGTGACATCCACATTAATACCATTTGGGGTTAGGGTTTTCTCGTTTCAGCGACCAAAAGTGAAACCAAAGTGACGCCTTGTGTTCATTTGTTCCACACAGAAAACCACCAACACCTGATCTGTGACGTAAAATGCCTGCCTTTACTTTAAAAAAGAGTTTCTGTGTTAAACTTGTTGTCCTCTCCACATAAAGAGTAAAAAGTTCTGAGTTACATGTATTTATTAATATGGAATAAGAAAAAGGTACTTCTCAAGTTTCTTCAAGTAAGAGGAATGTTCCTTGATGGAAATGATACGATCAAGACCTTGATAAGTAAAACTGGCATGTTTTTTTCTACTAATTACAAGCAATTCAGGTCTTATTTGGCATAAAGTATCTGAAAATAATCCACTATTTGTCCAGTGAGTGTGGCTTAAATTAAAAGTAGTAGACACTTTGTGCTAAATATAAGACCAAAAAAAGTTTACTAGGAATTGAGTTTTTGCAGCAAGAGGTATTAAAAAACGAATAATTTTAGTCAAAAATGAAGGTTTTGTAGTCAGAGGACACCATCAACTGTACATCGATCAATATCTCTTCATGTTTATTTAATCTAATCAATTTTAACTACACAGGCCCTGAAGGCATCCATTTTCATTCTGTTTATTATCAATATTTTGAAATACCCTTTTTTGGGGAGAAAAACAAGAAAAAGTGCTTAATTCTTAATCATTAGAGGTCGATCCATCAGCACTAAATGTCAGGCTGTGTCAGCTGGTCTATTAATTCACATCAAATCAGTGTGTGTGTGTGTCAGGGGAAAGCTGAAAGTTTCCAGGTTGGAAACCAAGGTGTGGATGGTTGGAGTTCAAGGTCTCATTCAGGCTTGTGTTTCGAAATGTTTCCTGGCAGAAAAGAGAGAGAGAGAGAGAGAGTGTGTGTGTGTGTGTGTGTGTCAGGTAGTCAGAGGGAAAGTGAACAGGTGCCTCCTGCGCTCCCTACACACACAGTTCCCTGATAATGCATATCATAAATATTGATCATCTTGTCACTGTTGCTTGTAGGGTGCATGTTTGATCTGCAGGTTGTTAATGTGAGCAGGTGGAGGTCAACAGTTTTATTCTGCCTCCGGTCATAGAAACTAATATTGACACTTTATATGTTTTATGATTTATTAAACAGCTGGTGGAGTTTAGGTGAGCGGCCTCAGGGGGTTAGCAAATGCGAGTATGTTTTTTTTTTTAATCTGCCAGATGTACCTCCACTGACAGGATTTTTAGCAACAGAGTGCAGTGCTGGCTGAAACACAATTATTACATTACTCAGCTGCCTGCTGTCCTATCAACAGTGCATATGACCACTCTGGGTCTTGATCAGCTCCCAAACTGCTTTTGTTCAGTGTGAATGTTAATGATTTCTTTTAAATACCATCATCTGTCATTCTGCAGCTGCACGTCTTTCTCTGGATCATCTTAACTTCATTTAAAATTGACTTTAGACTGGAAGATTAGTACAAAGGACTCAAAACACTCTTTCAAAACATGCAAGTTTGAGCTGAGTCTGGTGTGAAACAGTCCTGCTTTTCTTGATGTTAGCCTTAAACTACATACAGTATCTTTTTCTTATACTTTTCTTTGTATGGTACCTTACTAAGTATTTTTTTAGAAGATAAATGCCCATTGAAAAGTCGTTACCCCCAACCTCCAGTGAGCTTGCACCTATGTCATCCTTTGAACCAGTATTTTCCATCTGCATCCTTTGGTCATATTTTATGACCAAAGGATGCACATCATCATATGTGATGGGCGAAAACAGATCTCGGCTGTGTTAAATCCACTCCATGCCTTATCCCCTCCCTCTTTACAACTTACACCGCTGGGAGGAGCTGACTTAGGGAGAGGGGAAACTTACGCCGGGCTGCGCTGCTCACCAAAATACCAAAATGTGCTCGGGCATGCCTTGTCGGTGCGGCGGACCTGACTTACGCCGCACCTATGCCATGCCGCCGGCGAGGCATGAAAATAGAGCCCAATAAGTTCATACTCAGAGTGAAAAATAAGAGGGACTTGTACTTGTTTTAATGATACATAGCAGTGTGTTTGATGATACGTTTTGCCTTGGGTTGTTAGATTTAAAAAAAAAATTAATATATTTTTATTAATAAAAATGTCTTGTGTTGTGTGTACAGAAACTTTCAAAAGCTTAATCCAAACACAAAATCCACCTGCATTACAGATTTTAGTCAGAGGCAGTGCCAGAGCAGCTGTATTAGCAGTGACTTTCAGCTCTTCATGAAGTCCCCAATGAGACAGGAACAATGTTGAAACTGTTTATGAAAATCAAACTGCAGCGATTAATCCTCTCTGGACGTGCATCTGAAAACACTGCTGGCAATTATTGAAGTTAAAAACAATCACGGTTCTGTTTGAATAGTCCCAATCTGTGCACATTTAAACATGCTCTCACAATGTTTGGTTTCAAAAGTAAGTCAGGAAGCAGCTGCCTCGTCTCGTTTAGTTTCTGTATTTACCAAAACATTTTTAAAAAGTAAGATTAAGTTTCTGTATGCTAGCACACAGGTTTCAGGTTGGAAGTGTTTACATAAGTGCCATATGGTTTAGTATGTGTGGTTCCTGAGAATATAACTTCCTATTCTGCAGTGTCTCAACTCAAAGCCCACGCTGTAACACTCCTGTACAGGCTTTGTAGCGACACTGCATGACATTTAACACTTACATCACTGCTGCAACAATCAGCTGGAAAATAACAGCAGCGCTTTCATCAGACAGTCACAGGAAATGATTTGAATTTACCATGATTAGCTCATTGTCAGTGAGTCACAATAAGTCATTTCTTCTCTTACAATCAGCTTCATTTTAACATGTGTTTGAGTTGAAAAACAGTACGAACACTTTCAATACAGCTTTTTACTTTTACTCCTTGCATCCTCAAATGATTATATCTACTTTCCACTGATTACATTTTCAAACTAGCTGTGTTACTATGGCTTCAACTCGTATAAGAGATCAGATAAGGAACATAGTGTTACTTTCTGGTCTGTCCTCCCACGGCAGTCCAGAGTGTTTGCACATGATAGATGATTCTGGAAGTGACTCTGCAGGGTGACATAAATCTCTATTTATGGGAGGAAACCTTTTCTTTACAACCTCTGGCTGATGCGCCTAAAAACTACAGCAGCCAGGGACACTCATGGAGCAAAATCTGACCTTCAGATGAGGATTGATTGTGTGAAAATGAGCATCCAAAAGGGAGGTGGGGGTTATAATCTGCCCTGTGATAACCAACAACAACTTGTCTGATGTCAGAGGAAGCACGAAGCTTTTAACCCTCTGAATGAATCATAGTGGAGAGATTAGCACACGTGTTCACCAGCAGACGTAGTGGAACCTTTAATGGCACTCGTGTGTCAGTGTGTGTGCTGTCTACTTCGGTACAATATGTGCATCCGGGTAGATGCTAATCGATTGTGTTTGTGTGTCTCAGTGTGTGTTTAGTGTGTTAATGGCCGGGGCTGCTCACCCAGCCATGGCCTGCACACACTGAGTCACTCCTCGGATTGCAGGAGGCCGGGGAGAGGCAGGTGGCAGAGCTCCAGCTGCACAACGGCATGAACACACACACTCACAGAAATAGGTACACAACCACAGAGAGCCCCCACACACACATACCTGCTGTCGTTCATCCGTAAACAACAGCATCGTGATAATCGTCTGTTGTCACCTCAGAGATATTTAACTCGGTGTGTCTGTTTGTGCCGCAGGCTGCAGTTCCATACATACTGAATGTTTTCACAGACAGAAGGCAGATGGTTTGGCACAAACAGCTGAAATTACAACAACACATACACAGACAGAGGAATATTTTGTCCCGAGCATGCATTCATGACAAAACTCTGCCAGTAAACACATCTTGTTCCATCACAGAAGTCCAGTTGAGCTCCGACTTTGCTGCGCTCGAATTACTTACCTAATACCACCTACACACTGAAGACAAAAGCCACAGACTGCTGCGTAAACAGGAATCTAATGATGGAGATAAAATAAAGTTAGTGTGAATTTATGGGAGTCAACTTGAGGACTGAGTCCTGAACTCAACCCAAACACAGATTGAGTTCTGTATTGTTTGTTGGTGCCTCAGGGGGACTGTGCTTGCAGTGTTGTTCAGATGTCTGTGTTAGAATTAAGGAAGTTGTGGCCTTAATTATCAGCTGAGAGTTGTAGCATCACTCTAAAAGCTCTTTTAATGGATGTCTACCCTTAAAAAGAGTATTTGTCGTTCACTCTTACAGCTTGCTGCATTTAAAAAACCGCTCTAGTGAAATCTAACTGTCGGCTGCTGTTCATGGTTCACCTAAAGAAAAGCAGATAACACAAAATGACATAAATGCCTTTTTAAATAAACCTTTCACAAAAGCTGGCAGGCACTGCATTGAATATCACTACATATGTGCATGAAACTAAATCAGAGTTGATCGGTTTGTCACAATTACTTATCGTCTTAGATCATGAAGGAAAACCAATGTTAGCAAAGCCACAGAAACACAAAAAATCCAAAGCCAAATCTGGATGTTGTCAGCAACAGCCTTGTTATTGCTTTTTTTTCTCTTCAGAAACAGGCCGCTATTTCTAGCAAAATTCTCTAGAACCAGATACTAATGCTACTTGTGCACCACAGACAAGCCAAGAAACAACTTTGCCAAAAAAGATTAAAAACTCCTCCAGGTCCTAGGTGTGTGAAAATAAGACATTGTTTGCAAGACATCCAAAAATATTTATGTTGCAGGATAAAGATTTTGCCAAAATACATTGAAATGCTCCTTAAAAGTAAAGCAAAACCTAATGCGGCACATGTTTAGAAACCTGGCAAACTGAAGAGGACAAATAAAAGTTCAATGACTTTCACAGCCTAGCCTGTTTCCCCTTTAGAAAGTATTCTGTAGAGGGGAAAAGGTTTTTGAATTTCATTGAAAATCTACTCTGGATGCTTTCGTTCAGCCCAAACAGAGAGAACGAGGTAATAACTCAGAGTGTTTCCTAGAAAGCTGCTCGCTCCCTTAGGCACAGGAGTGTCTCTTCAGAAACACATAATAAACTGTCTGCAGGTCTACATGCTGTAATTTCTGTGTAGGTGTCTTCCTGTCAACAGTTACAAACTACCTGACCCAACCTGACATTTCTACAATCTAAAACTCGGGTTATCTTTAGATCATTTGCTCCAGTCTTACCCTCCTCCACAACTCCACAGTCTCTCATTATACTGTCACATGATCGTTAAAGGAACATTCAATCCTAAAATAAGAATATTTTCAACTGTGAAAAAAAATACTTTCTATTAAGGAACATCCCCACGGTTCCTGGATTTTTTTCCTTCAATAACTTGGATGATAGAGCCCCTGAGGAACTCCAAACCCTCAAGGATGTTTCTTTTTGTTTGCATCTGTAGCACGAAATGAAACACTGAAGCGAAGCAGGTTGGCAGGCAGATAGTACAGCAGTCCAACATAACATCAGTGTGATGGAAAACACTATGGTCGCTGACTTGTCTTTATTTCTTTGCAGATTTCATAAGAGCAAAAGGGTTGGAAGGATATACACACGTGGACAAAATTGTTGGTACCCCTCAGTTAAAGAAGGAAAAACCCACAATTCTCACTGAAATCACTTGAAACCTACAAAAGTAACAATAAATAAAAATTTATTGAAAATTAAATAATCAAAATCAGCCATTACGTTTGAAATGTTGATTAACATAATTATTTAAAAAAAACAAACTAATGAAATAGGGCTGGACAAAAATGATGGTACCTCTATAAAAGATTGAAAACTATTTGACCAGAGTGACATGATTAACTCAGGTGTGTCCTTTAATTGACATCACAGGTGTTTCCAAACTCATAATCAGTCAGTCTGCCTATTTAAAGGGAGACAAGTAGTCACTCTGCTGTTTGGTGAAAAGGTGTGTACCACACTGAACATGGACAACAGAAAGCGAAGGAGAGAATTGTCCCAGGACATCCGAAAAAAATTATAGACAAACATCTTAAAGGTGCAGGCTATAAGACCATCTCTAAACAGCTTGAAGTTCCTGTGACAACAGTGGCTCATATTATTCAGAAGTTCAAGACCCACGGGACAGTAGCCAACCTCCCTGGATGTGGCCGCAAGAGGAAAATTGATGACAGATTGAAGAGACAGATCGTTCGAATTGTATCCAAAGAGCCCAGGACAACCTCCAAAGAAATTAAAGGTGAACTCCAAGGCCAAGGTACATCAGTGTCAGATCGCACCATTCGTCGTTGTTTGAGCCAAAGTGGACTTCATGGGAGACGACCAAGGAGGACACCACTGCTGAAAAAAAATCATAAAAAAGCGAGACTGGAATTTGCAAAAATGCATGTTGACAAGCCACAAAGCTCCTGGGAGAATGTCCTTTGGACAGATGAGACCAAACTGGAGCTTTTTGGTAAGGCACATCAACTCTATGTTCATAGACTCAAAAACCAAGCATACGAAGAAAAGAACACTGTCCCTACGGTGAAACATGGAGGAGGCTCAGCAATGTTTTGGGGCTGCTTTGCTGCATCTGGCACAGGGTGTCTTGAATGTGTGCAAGGTAAAATGAAATCTGACGACTATCAAGGCATTCTGGAGAGAAATGTGCTGCCTAGTGTCAGAAAGCTTGGTCTCAGTCGCAGGTCATGGGTCTTCCAACAGGACAACGATCCAAAACACACAGCCAAAAACACCCAAGAATGGCTGAGAGAAAAGCGTTGGACTATTCTAAAGTGGCCTTCCATGAGCCCAGATCTGAATCCCATTGAACATCTGTGGAAGGAGCTGAAACATGCCATTTGGAGAAGACACCCATCAAACCTGAGACAACTGGAGCAGTTTGCTCATGAGGAGTGGGCCAAAATACCTGTTGACAGCTGCAGAACGCTCATTGACAAATACAGAAATCGTTTAATTGCAGTGATTGCCTCAAAAGGTTGTGCAACAAAATATTAAGTTATGGGTACCATCATTTTTGTCCAGCCCTATGTCATTAGTTTGTTTTTTTTAAATAATTATGTTAATCAACAATTCAATAGTAATGGCTGATTTTGATTATTTAATTTTCAATAAATTTTTATTTATTGTTACTTTTGTAGGTTTCAAGTGATTTCAGTGAGAATTGTGGGTTTTTCCTTCTTTAACTGAGGGGTACCAACAATTTTGTCCACGTGTGTATAGGGTTAGGATGTATAGGAATTCAGTCTTCAGTGTCAGCCCAGGTCTTAATGGTTTTGGTCCATTTTGATGCCCACCATTGAGAGCTGTTACATGTGTTTCGTAAGATGGTGTTTGACCGGTATAACTTCACCTTCAAAGCAAAATACTCTTACCATCAGCCATCAATAATGAGAGTGGAGTTTTAACTGCACTTGTTCGCAGATAGCCATCAAGCTAAATCAAATGACATCTTGGATTGCGTGAGGGCCTCTGCCTTGTTCTTCACACCTTGTTCTGTTCGTCTACCGGCATATTAGTCAGAAAGTTTATATAAGGGTCACCAGACATTAGATCACTGATCATTCTTCCTGTTTTAGACAGAATCTGTGGTGAGGTATGGGGTGAATGGAAAAAGTGCAAAAACATCAAAGATTTCCATTAGTCAAACTCATTTAGTTTGATGTTCTTAGCCAATGCAGTTTATGTTTTTATTCTGTTTCTCTAGTGTTTCCTCAGTGGGGGCCACCTGCACTGGGGGCTGTGACTGTCTCTGTCTGGGTTTTCTCTGTCTCATGGTGTGCACTCAGCTCAGCAAGGTGGTGGTCTGCAGCAGTGCTTGCTGCTGTGGGCCCCTTACTGGCCTGTAGTGGGGTGCACGCTCGGGTGGAGATGTCCCGACCCTGGGCCGTTAGCAGCCTCCGGTGAAGTCGGCCTCCTGATGTTTCCTGACATTGCTCCTCTGTAACCACATGCTTTTCAGATTGCGTTGTCTGTGTGCGTGCGTGCGTGTGTGCGTGCGTGCGTGTGTGTATGTGCTGGGGTGGGGAGGTGGGGGGATGGATTGGGGGGGGTTCTTCTTTTTGCTGCATCTGTTGTATGAAAAGTGCTTTCAAAATAAAGTTTGATAAGTTTAGATTTGATTATTTTCTGAGGTGACAAAAGGAAAATAGCCATTTTTTTCAATTCTTAATACTCAAATTAACTAAACTGATGAGTGTATGTATTTTATTACTCAAAAAATAATCCCTGGAAACTCTTACAGATTACTTGGTAACACATGAAACATGGGTAAATCCAAGAATTTTGAGACTCAAGCATACTATATAAAAGACGCCCTGTATCCGACGTAGGGCTAAAAAATCTGTTTAATGTGGGAGAGGGGGAAAAATTTCATTCCTTATTTTTTAATGAAATTACCGTTTCAGTCCAACTCAGCATCAGCAGCCCCCCCGCTAAGCCTGCAAGCTTCCACGGTTCAACAAGTACGCTTAACATTCAAGCTGAATATATACGATACATCTTCAAGAGTTGGGTAGTTAACCATTTGAGCAGAAAGAAACATGCAAAACAAACCAAATAAAATGCATCTCAGCATTTGTATCTACAGCTGAATTCCACAGATGCCCTTCTATGAAGAAAAGCACCAATCCCAATCAGCTGACTCAGTCTAAACTTTCCCTCTGTTTGCTCAAATCAAAACCTAGTCATACATGAATTGTGTGGAAGACAATCCTCTTTGATGAATTTCATTTTGAAATTGATGATAAAAACTGTTTAATGCCACACACATACCTAGAAGGAGGGAATCCCCTCTCTGCTAGACTAGTTTCCTGTCAGAGCTCCTGCCGACTCACTGTGTTAAAAGATAGAGCTCTTTTGAAAGAAACGGCATCTAAAGTCAGATAACCTTGACTCTGATGTGAGACTTATTGATGTGTGAGTGTGTGTGTGTGTGTTTCCTGCAGTTATCGAAACATCTTTTCTCTTAAGTCAAGCTGCAAACATTTGCAGCCTCATCTTAGAAGGATAGTCTGACTCTGACTGACCTTGTTTGAGGGCTTAAGAGTAGCTGACACCATTTCTCTCCATGCCCAAGTTGATAGTTGTGGTCAAAGGTTTGTTCATCCACAAGTATTCAAGAAAGCCCAGAGATCTTTGTGTTTGTTATCACGATGAATGTGTCAGACTAAACCATTGCAGAGCTGTTAACTTCTGTTGTGGCTTTACTGATAGATATGATAGACTACACGAAAGTACCCAACCTGTCATCGCAACCAGCATTATAACTTTGGACTTAAGAGACACTGGACTAGATAACACTGCAGAAGAAGATCGTCTGCTTTCTCTTGCCAACACTCCTCTTTTTACAGTCTGTTGAAGTAGTCCCACATGTCCCTTGACGACACATCATAAAAGCAGGAATGATATTTCCAAATGTGATGATGAGCCCAGCATGCATCTAATTTGGACCTAAGATAAAGTTGGACCCTAGGTACATACGAAAGGTATGGAGCTGTAGAGCTGTCTGTGTTTCCTCTCCCGCTAAAAAACTTGTTTGTTTGAGATGAATCATAACACTCCAGCCAGAAGAAGATCTAGTGGTAACTTCTTGAAAAGGGGCCCCATCTGCTGTAGCGGAAACAGAGATACTTTTACCAAGAAATCTGTGCCTAGTGGACAAGTTCCATTACATCAACTAGTCAGCTGCAACATTACTTCACTATGGTGTAGTCCATTGTCATCATGATGACTTATATGCAAGTTCATTTTTCTGAGGGATTTGGATTAGATCATTCAGTGCTCAAAAAGGAAAAAAATGTCATGAGTGGTAAGTAAGGTTCCTGGAGCGTTGTGTTCACCAGATTAGTAGAGGAAACATCTTACAGTCATTGAGTTTTCTGTGAGTGTTCCCACGGGCTGCACCAACCTGGGGAATCTTTGCCATTTTATCGGTTAGTTAAATGTGTGTAACGCCAATGCTGAAACTCTACCAGTACAGACTCTGCTCCAAAGATAAATCCAAGATATATCTGTGCCTAATAGAAAACAGTCAATTCAGGTCTACCTAACCAGTGAGCAACAATCGAGTGATTATTTTGGCAAATGGTCATGATGGCATGAGTCATTAAGGAACCAACTAGAGACCAGCCTTGACCTCATCCCCCAATTTGATATGCTGACCATCCCCAGAGCAGATGTGCTCATCAGCAAAGTTTATTTTCAACACGTGTATCCGTGGTTGGCGAGGACGGAGTTTGATATTTGAATCATCAGCTTGATTGAATAAAAGATTTAATTATTACTCAGGCTCATACAGCTGTCCTCTTCACTGTTCCTGGTTAATGTGTCACGTGTCTTTCCTTCTGGCCATGAGTTTACTTGGTTGGAGATTAAGTGGCCTAGAAAATCCTGCAATGATTGTAGCATCTGAATTCAATCAAATATTTTTGTCAACATTTTTTGTTTTGCCCGAACTGCAGAAACAAGTGGTTGTGAGAAAGTGAGATAGAAGTTCTGTCAAGGGAGAAAATTCGGTTTTTATAATGTACAGACCAGAAATAGTAATACATACATACTAGCATACACAGTGATTTAGTATTTGCCATCAGTGCCATTGCAACCCAGGAAGGTATTGGAGAGGAATTTGTGTCGACAAGTTTAACTGGTCCTTTTTTTAGGAAACATATATTTTCACACCCTTTCATTGTTTTCTATTTGATTAATTTCATACTGCCTTTCCACTGAAGTTCAAAAATAAAAACCCCCAAAGAAATGGCAAAAAGGCTTTTGTTGTGAGGGGATTCTCTGGTTTCTGTGTTTTTCTTTCCACAGAATCATCCCACTTTAATACCTTTTGTGGTTTCCTAACATTATTCATGAAAATACTCCCCTGCCAAGGGAGAAAGGAGGGGAAGAGGACACTTCTAGGTTGTCATTGAGAGGTTTACCATTGACTAAGGATTCTTAGTCAATGATAAAAAAAATGTGCGTCTAAAACAAGAGATATTCATTTGATGGATTGTTTTTATGAATTCTAGAGAAACGACTGAATGACATACAGTTTCTTCTGTGGAAATTGGTGGGAGAGTTCTTTACAGAGTTTCAGTGGCATTCACCCCAGAAAATCTCTGACAGCAGTGTTTCCTGTTTTGAGGGAAGGCCTCTCACAGGCATCAGCTGAAGGGCTTTGAGTCTCTAACCTGCTATGAAAACATCAACTTTCCCTGAATTTAACTCACAAGATATAAGAAAAAAATTCATTTCCAAGGAAATAACTTCATAATACACTTTCTAAAAGAATTTTAATGTAATGTTAACTTGTGCCATCACAGCATATATAACTGCCATCACACTTATTGTCAGTGGTGAATTTCCAAAATGGAACAAAAGGCATACCATATACTACCTTATCTTATTGTACTGTACCACAACTTACTGTGTCATGTTCTGCAATATTCTATCATATTGTGTTTTGTAGTGTCATATCCCATTGTACCATGTTCACCAGTATTGTATCCTATCTTTGCATAGCTTATCCTATACTCTCTCTCTGTATTCATATTATAATTTGGAACCTTTTTAAGCATAAAGTGATAAAAAAAAAAAAAACTAAACCATATACTTTGTTATCTTGTCCTATCACCTTGTGTTATATCATATCTGATCTTTTTCATTCTATCCCATCCTATTGTATCATGTCCTATACTGTGTTGTACTTTATTGTATTATGTATTGTACTGTAACATATCATGGCACATTGTATCATACTGTCTCATATCATACATACATGCATCCTGGAACTTATTTAGGTGTTTCTATTATATTGCTGAACTTGAAACTCACAATTCAGATGTTGTTAACCTTGTAAAAACTGTAGATAAATATCACGTTTATCATGTTATCATCTTATTTTGCCAACTGAAATGTATAGAAAAATGAAAGACTGAAAAACTTTACATGTCAGTATCAAAATCATACCTTTTTATGCCTGTTATCTTATCCTGTGTGGCTTTTTGTCAGGTTAGGTTTCTTGATTTTTTTGTTGATGTTCTCTCTTTGTTACCTATTTTTTCCACTTAACATCTAAATCCATAATATTGCTACTAAAAGAGAGTAAACATATGACAAATAAAGGAACAAAATAAATTGCTTTAGAAATATAATAATGAATTGGAATTTCTGATTGTGTTAACAGGCAAATTTCAGTCTAAGATTTGAATGAAACTCATTTGTTCAGGGCCAAAAAAAAATCTTTAAAAAGTGTTTACAAAATTTTCTTTTCAATGTTTTGAATGCAATTAAACCTATCAAAACACAAGTCTACATAAAAATCAATTGATTCATTCATTGACAGCTTTTTTTAAACTGGACTGCGACAGCAACAGCGCCTGCCTGGAGACGGTCCTGGTTACTTGGCAACGAAAAAAACCTCGCTGACCAATCAGAAGCTCCGCTCGGCGCATTGATACGAACAAACTCCACGGTACTACGCAAGTGAAATGTGCAGAAGATGAAAGTTGGACTTGGGGGTAAATATAAAGTTTTATTTTCCCATTGAAATCATCGTCACCAAATATTATCTGTGATGTACCTTTAAACAGTGAATGACTCGCCACATAGACAGAGGGACTGTGTCGTTTAACGCTGGTGCATTGTGTTGAACGGGTCGTGCTTCGGCTTTATAAAACAGGCGTGTCTACAGCCAGTCGAGAGGTTCAAACACTGACTTTTCACAGTGAGCGGAACGCGTGTGTCTCTCGGGCAGTGGATTATGTGGAGGTGTCTGCTCGAACTGCAAATTAACATCTTCTCTGTCTAACTTCGAAGGCTTCCGGAGCTAGATTGTGGACATGTGAGTACACAACTTTATCTGTCCTTCATTTCTGCCGAGGGATTTTGAGTTTTCACTCTAACGGTGGTTAGGAAAGTTAGTTGTGCTGCATTCAGGCGCCGCTTGGATTGTCTAACACCCAAAGTTGACCTGACGCTTTTCTGAGGGTAGAAAACATTATTGGTTAAAAGTTTTATGTTTCAATGCTTTCATCTGACTCTGGTTATTTAACAACAACGACAACTTGTATTTATAAAACATCAGGAATGAGCCAAAATTTGATGCATCATACAAATGTGAGCGAGAATTCACGTGAACGTTTCAAGCTAGAAACTCCTTTTTCCCGACGTCACATAAACGCAGGTCAACACTGAGTCCTTTTAAAGTTCACTAAATCGTTATCATAACCCCAAAACTCGACATTTGTTTTGACATTAAAGCGTAAAAAATGCAGTCTTTTTTTCTGATTGATTTGAGGGTGATTTTAAAGAGAGACGTCGCCATATGGATTTAGTTTGAGCCAAACTTTATCTCTAAATGTTGTCCTGTTTGCGTGATTTGTTGTGAATTCCAGTCTGGTATTGGTTTAAAAGCGATATTTGCGAGTTTATCACGTTAAACAACTAATAGAAAGTCTCGTCAGTGGAATTAATAAGTCAGCTGGAACAAATAACGAGTGGCGATGTTATCATGAAGTGAGTTTATTCGCTACATCTGTGTTTCTTGGATAATTCGCAGTAAATCAACGTTTTGGTGGGGCTTTTTTTAATTTTTTGGTCACTTTTAGCAGCTTGTTTGTCTCCCAACGGTTCTGGAACTGAAAGCCAGGCTCGTGCTGCGAGCTGTTCTAGAAGCCTCACGAGCTCTGTCCCTTTACTGCTGAGAGCGAGCAGGTTGTCTCGTGCTCACATTCTGCTCCGCTCGTGCTGAATGAGCCATGATGTTGCTACTGTTTGATAAGACTCTGAGCGGCTATATTTACCTTTTTATGCGATTATTATCAACTCTAGACGGTGTTTGGTGTTAAATTTATTCATGAGTCATCCTTGTTTTGGTATTTTGAGTTAATCTTCTGCATTTCAAAACAAGTATTTGTATTTTCTCTTAACATTTTCCAAGTTGTCCTACCTTCCTAACAGCAAGATGGATTTTATCCTGAATTGACTTGACAGTAACAACTAGAAAATACAATTTTTAATGGTTTCAATGTGTCAGGGTATTCAAGCACATCACTAGATTGCCAAAAAATGGTTGATGCAGGTCCACTGGGTCCTGGGTCATTCCCTACCTTGTTGATTTGCATGTTTGAGTAAATGTGGTCCTCATTATTTTCAGTGTGGTGTGGTTTATTTGAAGTTTAAATGATTGTTCCAAAGGTCAGTTAATTCTGCACTGAAACAGTAGTCAGAAATATCCAACATTGTTAGTCCATTTCTATTTAAGCTTACTTTAGTCAACTTCAACCCCACCACTACCACCACCCATAAAGCCATAGTCAACACTGGTGATGGACTGATTAATCAGACTGATTCTTGGCATTTCCACATATTGGCTTTCTCCCTCACAAGGTTGATATCACCATGACCCTTTCTCATTGAAAACACATTTAACTCCTCATCCATTGACAGCATACCAGATCTAAACAGTTGTGTGTTTTGATGTACATTGTGTTGTGGTGTATACACTAAAAGTTTCAGATTGCTGGACAGAAATCCAAAAGTCCCTTGTGGCACAATTTTACCAAGTCAAATATTATTTCATCCACATTTACTGGATTTAACGTTCACTCAAGTTCATGCAACTGTCATTGTTTATCTTGTATTCTTCTCGTTTGAGTAAAAATAATAAAGTTGACCTCAAATTTACCTCAGAGCCCCAGCTTTGGCGGTCACTAACATGTCTCTTCACTGCTCTTTCTCAGTACATCTGAACATTGTGAGACGATGGAAAACAAGGAGGAATTAAAGAGTACCGAGCCCAACAGCGTCCTGTCCTGGGAGCAGGTGAGCCGGCTGGATGAAGTTTTGACGGAGGTTGTGCCCGTTCATGGACGAGGGAACTTTCCAACTTTGGAGGTGCGGCTCAAAGACATTGTGGCCCGGGTGCGCTCTCGCCTGGAACATAGCGGCATCGAAGTGAAAGACGTTCGTCTCAACGGCTCCACAGCCAGCCATGTGCTGGTGCAGGACATTGGCTGGAGCTACAAGGATCTGGATGTCATCTTCAGGGTAGACCTGCCTCACGAGGCAGAGTTTAGGCTCATTAAGGATGTGGTTCTCGGTACTCTGCTGGACTTTCTGCCCGAGGGTGTGAACAAGGAGAAAATTACACCCATGACTCTCAAAGAGGCGTACGTGCAGAAGCTGGTGAAGGTGAACACAGAGCAGGACCGCTGGAGCCTCATCTCCCTCTCCAATAACAACGGCCGCAATGTGGAGCTGAAGTTTGTGGACTCAATACGCAGACAGTTCGAGTTCAGCGTGGACTCCTTTCAGATTGTGCTGGACTCCATGCTCTCCCACTATGAACATTCAGAGACGCCAATGTCACAGACTCTCCACCCCACTGTGAATGGAGAAAGCATGTACGGAGACTTCAGCATGGCGCTCAGCCACCTGCGGAACAAGCTCATCGACACCAAGCGGCCCGAGGAGATCCGCGGTGGCGGCCTGCTCAAATACTGCAACCTCCTGGTGCGGGACTTTCGGCCAGTCAGTGAGGAGGAGTTCAAGACCCTGGAGAGATACATGTGTTCACGCTTTTTTATCGACTTCCCTGATATCGGGGAGCAGCAGCGCAAGGTGGAGGCCTACCTCCAGAGCCACTTCATAGGTGAGGAGAAGAGCAAGTACGACTACCTCATGATCCTGCGCAGAGTGGTCAACGAGAGCACGGTCTGCCTCATGGGCCACGAGAGGCGGCAGACCCTGCACCTCATCTCTCTGATGGCCTTCCGGGTGCTGGCGGAGCAGAACGCCATCCCGAACGCATCCTGTGTCACCTGCTACTATCAGCCAGCACCTTATGTTCGAGACCACAACTTCAGCAACTACTACGTGTCTAACCAGAACATTCCAACATGGCTGCCGTGTAACTGACAAATGGAGCGCCCGGATGAGCAAGAGGGCTCTGCTGCTGCTGCTGCTTTCGGAAAGAGAGAAGGAATCTAAAAACCCTCCCCCAGAAAATGTATTAATGAGGCAATAAACGCGATGGTCCTCTCAAGGCACAATTATGTTTCATGGACGAGTGTTTCACTTTGTTTTTTGGGATCCTTTTCATTCCTTATCTACAGAGTTGTCTAGGTCATCTGAAAAAAAAAAAAAAGATATTTTTAAGTGTTTTGATTTATTTTTCTTCTCATGTTTGGTTGTTTTCCCAGTTTACCAACTTTTTCTTAATGGAGTTGTGTTTTTGTGCCTTAACTTCCAGGTTTACCCCCTTGGTAATTTCAGTATGGGCTATCTTTATGAAGAAAGGGAAGAAGAGAATGTCGTAGCCTTAATTTGGTTTACTCCTGTGATAAAAAAAATAATAAAATAAATGTGAAAATACAGAAAAAAAAATCTAAAAATATAGAAAAATAGTATTAAAGGGGAAGAAGTAGTAGAACAGGTGAAGGCCCCAAAAAATAAAGCACCAGTTGTAAAAGTTAGGTTCACTTGGGAGGGAAGAAAGGTGGTACACTAATGACTATGTCCTCATGACTGAAGGGGAAAGTAATTTGTTTTAAATCATTTCGTTAATAACTCAGACATTTCTGCTTTCCCCGATAAGCCGACAGTGCCTGTGTTTTTGTAAACAATGCAATAGATAATGTGTGTATTTTTATTTTTCCACTGTGAACTTCAGTGTGAGATGAGCTCCCCTTCTCCCCCTTAACCCAGTTTACTCAGCCCTGTATTTTTCAGTCAGTGGAAATCTACAATGAGGCAGTTAAAGCCTCAGATTGACAGGCTCCTGTGTGTCTGAGGAGTTTATTTTTCCCTGTGTTTTAAGTCACTTCCAAAGCCTCACAAGAGACCTCCAGATGCCACAATCCTCTGGCTTCTGTGTGAGGTACACTGACTGACAGGACTGAGTCAACTCAGGCCTGCTCAGGGAATGCTGCTGGCCTCGTTGCCTGGCGCAGGAGCTCGCTGGGAGTCTTCGGAGTGACAGGCTGACTGGCTGTCCCTTCCCTTAAAAGGAGCAGCACATGGTCGGCCCCGCGGGGTCGTCCCTCACGACCATTGCAGGCTCGACATCAGCCCTGAAATGGGATCCTCCTCTGACGCAGCTCAGCGACCGGCGCTCTAACTGCGGGCCGGCTATAATTATCATGTTTTTCTTTTTTTTGCTTTCCCGGAAGAGGCACCTTTTTTTAAAAGCAGGGAGCAGCAGCAGCTCTGCCACCTTACATGTGTGGGAGCTGAAACACTTCCTGTCCTCTCCTCCCAGTGCCTGCTGGGACCACGCTTGTGTTTGAACCCCTTTTGTGGTCATGGGAGGACAGACAGCAGGGATTGGTATGTTAAGAGAAACGCCAGCATGTCTGCTCCCCCACTTCAGACTTGGATTTTGATTTATCCTGGAAGCTGCAGCTCACTTGAGTCACCAGGCGATCTTCCTCACCAGCTGTAGAGACACCCCCCCTCCAAACTCTGAATTCCTATTTCTAGACCGGCCTGTAATTGGCTGTTAATTTGAAAACGTGTGGTGTGGCACGCTGATTAGATGTGCTAAACCTGTCATCTCTCCTGACATGATTGTGGTCAAATATCTAAGAGGAGAAAATGCTCCAGGAGGCTGCAGCTGCTGCTGGTCGTGGTGTGTGTTAATTCCCCCTTACCCTGTAGTTCATCAGAAAAACTTGTCTATTTCTGCTCAGTGTTTCTGCTGCTGCTGCTGCTTGTCTCACTGTTTACTCCCGATAACCAGGATGGTCTCTTATCAGGCTGGCCCACAGCTCCTGGCTGGTTAGAGAATGTGTTACAGGGAAGGTCAGCTCGGCCTCTTTAGCAGGTCACACCCCAGGTCGGGGCATTTTCAGCTGGCTCAGCTGCTTTAGTCTTTTTAACAACAAATAAGGTGCCACAATCTGTCTCGCTCTGGACCAAAGTCTGTTTTAAAACCAGCAACTGAAGCACTAAAGTGCCTTTGACTTCTTTGGAGAGTGATGAAGCTTTTTAACACGATTTTTAACGGTGACCAGGATGGAAAGGGTTGTTTTTCACTCCCTTTAAATTCTGAGAAACTTGGGTGATATAAGACCGTCACCGCTATATTAGATACACGTTCAATGGAGAACAGAGACAATTTGGTTGGGAAGCAAAATAATTCTGGTTTGATTTGAAATTTTGAGTTTTTGGTCTTTTATTTTTCTTTTCCCCCATTTTTCTTCCTTTTGTTTTGTCTCCAAGTTTCAGTCCAAACCTGTACTATTCCTTCAAACCTTTTTGTCCAGTCATTCCTGTCACAGTCTTTTGTTGAATTCCCTCCTTTGTCTTTTCCTCAGAGTTAAAGCCTTGTTGTCATGTTGATTTCAGTCTGATTGCCTTTGAAACTCCACTTTTGATTGATCCTTATATTCTGAAACCTGCGTTATAGATCCACCTGCTCCAGAGCAACCCGGCTACATTTGTTCCGCTGACAGTTTTTTTTGTTCCCATCCAAACCAAAGCAATACCTTAAGTGCACTGACAGGCCATCCTGTGGCACAGTAGCTGGAGGTCGCCCAGCAGAGACCCCATACTAACAGAAGCACTTTAGAGAGGCCTTGTTTTACTCCAAACCCAGCCACCTGAGAGGAATGTAAATAAGCTAATGTGGTCGATTGCTGGAGGGAGTTGAGCTGGTTCTCAGGGACATCATGTGTTTTTGAGGACTTTGTTTTGTCCCCTTTATTATTTTATTTTGGAGGGTAAACTAGTCTAATCAGCCATGGACTATTGAGACATCCCCTCCTCATATTCACCTTGTCTTTTCCTCTTCTCTGTCGTAATTGTAACCCTCTTTTCTTACCCGAAATGCATGTTCTCACTAAAGTAGATCGAGCAGACTTCAGCTTTGCAGCCTGAGTGTAGGACTCTGTTTTTATCTGCACATCTTTGTGCTCTGAAACCTTATCGTCGCTCTAAGGATAGTTCCCTCATACTTCAGCAGAATTGACTTGTCTGACAGCCTGCAGACTAAAATCTCTCATTGGCTGGATTCAGACTGTAGTAACTTTTCTCTGGCGTTGAATGAATGTAGGGTATCTGTAAACTAATTTCTTGGCAATCAGGAGAGTCATGGTGTCACCAAAAATTCACCTTAAAACAGTGGCTAATGTTGGCATATTCAGCCGCTTTACTGATTAGAAATACTCAAATTACCTTTTTGTCAGTTTGCCCAGGCCGATAGAAAATGAAGAGACCCTGCCGAGAGAGATTAAGCAGCAGGATGTTTTAAGTGCTTTGCATCCTCAGAATGAAGTCAGAGGGAAACAGCAGCTGTGATCACAGGGCATCTTCTCTAAGTGATGATAAATCGGTTTATTGAAAGCATGAAATTGTCAATCAGGCCAAACCTGCAGCTGAAGTCTGCTGAGCGCAGTGAGAACATGTTTTTTCTTTTGCTTCTTGTTGACTTTGCTCACTTACTAGAACTAGTTTGAAGCAGAGTCAAAGAAAATGCGACGAAAAGAAACGTGCATTTTCTAGAGAGATGATCGCGAACCCAGCCTGCGAGCTGAAATCAGCGTTTTTTTCTTAGTCCACTCTGCCCACGAGTGTTACGGTTATTGTGGCTTGTCCCCTGACGACCGAAAACGTGTGCCTGATGATGAAATCTTTACAAAGCAGATGCTGAATCAGTTTCTCCGTCAGGGTTCGATGGATGTACGTGGATGTTCTGTGAAGGACGATAATGATGTTTAAAAAAAAAGAAAAGAAAAAAAAAGGATGAAGTGTTTTTTGCCTTTTGTTGTTTTCCTGCCCCACTTTCTTTCTCTGCTGTAAACTTGTCAGTGTTATTGACCCCGCTGCTTCTCTCACTCACCTTGCTTTTGGTCGTCCAACACGTTTGGGCTTTTGTTCATTATTAGTACAGAGTGTTTCTTTATTTATGACACCTGTAGATGTATTCTTTGCTGGAGCGGGTGCAGAGCAAGCTGTGGATTAGATATTTACGCTTGTCTGAGTACAAGTCTTACACCATAGCAATGTGACGGAGGCTCTCCTACAGTTTCTATATGAAGAGTTGTGAATTTATTTTGCAGCAGATTTGTGTTTACGTTAATGCGTGGAGGTGTGTGTGCTTGTTTGCATGTGTGTATGAAGGGATGCCTGTGGCTACACAAGTTTAAAAAGTGGGGAAACAATTTTGAAATTTGTCGCACTATATATATATTTTTTGAAATAGTTAATGCAAAAGAGCTTTTTTGTCAGCTTTGTGATTGTGACGATGAATTTTGATGGTTACAACCATTATACTATTTCATTTTTCAGCACTTTTACCTCACTTGAGTTTTTCCTTTGAATGGAAATGTACTTGTACATCAGGAAAATGTGTTTGAAGAGGAAAAAATGAATAAAGAGTATTAAATGCAGAAACTGTGTCAGGGTTTTCTGTTCAAATTCAAAGTGTCAAAGGGTCAAACTTGTCTTTGGAGGGATTTCGGAGCAGAATCAGAATTTTTTTTCTGTCAGATGATTTTCTTTTCTCAGCAGAAACTTAAGAAGTTTGAAAACAAAACAAACCCAGTCAAACCAAAATGGATATGAGTATAAATTTATCGTAAAAAACAACAATTCTATCTTCTGCTTTTTTCCACCAAATTAAAACTGTGCACATGCGACTTCTATGCTCGGAAACCGAGGTCATATCGGTGGTTTTCAAATCTTGGTTGGACATATTTGGGATGATCATTTTAACTAAACCAACAAGTATGATTCGAAAAAGTCCTTTTTCCTCCTCATGCTGGTTCTGTCAACAGTGAATGAGAAATGACTCCCTTCAGAACCACAACGTGACAGCAACAATACAGAGCTCAGCGTTTAGCAGCACATTACAGAGTGTGAACCAAATATGAAACACGCAGGATGATAGAATTAAAAACAATAAAAACAGCAGGGAAAATACAACACAGATGAGGAAACAGAAGAGAGAATAAACAGCAGCAGGGACGTTAAAGATTTAGATCTGTTTTTAACATTTGTATGTGCTTAAAAAGGCAAGTCAGTAATGTCAGAAATCGGCTGTTTATACAAAGAACTAAGTGTATTCAATAAGTTAGATGGGGTCATAGTGGGCTCTGGAAAGTAGCATTGAGCATTGTGTAGATTTCTGCTTTGACACTGACCTAAACATGGAGGGAGAAGTATGCATGAGCATCTCCATCTCCATCAATCATCTACTTTTAATTCACAGTTTTTGCTCATTGTGTCGACATGAAAAACAAAACCTTACACTTAAGGTCCTTACACACATGGGGAATGACGTAAATATACAACGCGAAATTACAAAATATTCAGAGGCGAATTTTGATGTGCCTAACCCCACTGAGCAATAGACGGCTATTAGACATCTAGTTTTTTTTAGACCTAATTTCAACCATCTAGATCCTGCATATTTTTAGACGGAATTTAGACGTTGTACTTTAAACCATAATTCGATAACTATTTATTTCAAAAAGCAACTGTGAGTTGCATAACTGATTTCCAAGTACTTAACCAAAATAATTATGATAGCCATTGAGAAATATACAGTTTAGTATAGTATAACTGGCTAGTCTAAACTTGGTCTAAATTTAGACGTCATATAAACTTTCATTTTTAGACCTGTGGTAGCCTGATTTTAGACCTGTCATCTTGGCTACATTTCAACATCTATGAAACCTCTTTCTGAAAAAAATGCTCCCAGTGTGTAAGGACCTTCATTCTGAAAACTGGAAGCTCATATGAACGGCACGAATCCGAACTGCTAAACTCTTCGCACAGTTTTATTAGTCTCACTTAAATACTTTTATAAATCACAGCTCAGCTTTGCAAATCTCTCTACACAAACTGCTCACTCTGTTCACCTGGAAGCACCGACCTTCAAACCATGATCGCCAAATACTCTCGCTACATTTGTACCCACACGAACTCAGCTGGAAGAACACTTAAATCATGTGTCAGAGAAGAAGAGAGGCCTCAAATGACTTACACATCCACCCTGCAGATGAATGGCAGGGATGACTCTGCCATGCCAGGAGTTATTCCCCCCTCTGCTTGGCTAAGGGGGGCTGTGGATGAGTTCTTCAGGCCTGATCAGGATCAGGGGCAGGATACAGAGTGATCTATTTCATTACATTTCACTTTCTTTGTCAGTTTAGCCGAACTTAACCCTCTCAGTGCGGAAAAGTGCCTGATAATCAGCTTTAATATTCACCTAACTGCTTTAATGGAATAAGAAGTAACATGTAGTCTTAATGAAAGTGATATTCGACATGTTTCCTCATTTACAATCCTGCACAGTCTCTCTTGCTGCTTCATTTGGGTCTTGTGGGCATCCTGACGGTGACCTTAACCAGAGATGTTTTCCATCTTCATCACGGGGGCAGTGGTTTGTGGGGTGATCAGTCAGCTCAGCATTCAGTAGCCTTAAATCCTGCACTTCTTGCTGATCTGAGAGCACTGGAAAACGCTCAGCTCCTGCCAGAGTTTTTATTGGATAATAAAAGCCTGGACATCGCTTTAGGAGCGCTTCAAAGTCTGTCGACCTTCAGCTTTAGCATACATTTACATCTCAGCGCAGCCTTAACGTGAACCTAAAAAGGGAGGATGTTTCGCTGCAAAAGGACCTGTCACATATTTTGTAAAAGAAGTGGGTGTAAAAGTTAAGATGAAGTAGTGGAAGTAGGTTTGTAGGTTGAAGAAAGTGATGTTCATGCCCGTGATGTTATTTTCCGCTCAGAGAGGAAGTCCCCCCTGTAGTCCTGAGTCACTCACTGCCATTCATGAAACGTATTGACTTATCTGCAGGGGATGACTCATCGTGTGGACATAAGCGACGCAGCAATCTGCCCTCGCTAACCGCTTTTTCCATCCTCCTCCTCCATCCACGTGCTGACTTTACAGACCTTAATAACCTTTGTTTTTCTAATCCAATTTTCTACCTCCTTCTCTCTCCACTTTGGTTTGTGGTTTCATGTGCAGAAAGCTGCAGAAATTTCAGCAAGTCCTAACCTCTGGAGAGCTCCTTCTTTGTTTTGAAATTCGTTAATAGGTGTTAAAATGCTGAAAAAAAAGTTATTTTTAAACTCACTCCTTGAAATCTACAGCGTGAGCCCTACTTCATTACTTCTTTATCAACTCTGCATCTGGTACAGAGACCTGAAAGCACTCTTTCCCAATCAGCGCTTGTTTTATAATTTGCAAAGCAGCACCTGGACCTCTTGAGTGTTTCTGTTCATCTTGATAAGCTGCAGTGATTCTGAAACTTGCCTTTGCAGCCAGATCGGCCACTTTTTGTTTTTTTATTGTTTGGTCACAACTCAGTGTGTCAGAAACTTGATGAGCTGCATCATGAGTCCTCAATAAAGCTTGTTCTTTTTAGTGAAACTTACTTTTTTTTTTACCAGAAATAATGCACATATAATTTTGTGCAAGTGTGAACCTCTTTCCTGGAAATGAAGCCCATGTGGATGTGTCAAAACCTGCAGTTCCTCAGGTGTGCACTTGATGCTGTCTGCAGAAGCCAATGAATCCCTGTGTTAATACGTCTGTTTTTAAAGCAGAACATAACATGTTTACAGCCTTGTTGACTGGGTTCAAGAGGCTTTAAAACTCCTCCTCAGAAACCGCTGGATGATGTGACTGAGGCTAGATCCATGTTTGTTACCAGGTGTTCCCAACCAACTTGGCCAGTGACAGGGCCTAGACACTGGAGACCCCCACTTTGCAAGTGCATTTACATGCACAGCTTAATCAGACCAAGCTCATAATTTATTCATTTATTTTTTTGCCTAATCGGCCTTCCCTCCTTGTTCGTGTGAGCTGAGAAATTTCAATTATTGACGTGAACATTACCTCCTCCCCAAAACTAGGGGGCGATATGGGTCTTTTCAGCGGCGCTGTTTCCAACAACAACAGCAGGTCCGTGCCGGACGTCAAAAGTGGCTACAGCTGCTGCTGGGCGTTTTCAAGCAAGAAGATGGAGCATCGTACAGCGTTGTTTTTGTCGTACATGATGTACGTGCTACTTTTTCTGCAGATGAGGTGCATGCTACTCCTCTTCTCTGGTGTTTTTTGTTCTGGAGTAACGGGGGGGTGGCGCATGTACATTGTCCGATCATACTCTGACTCCACTGGTTACATGGTAGAGAAAATCAAATTCCAATTGCATTAACTGGGTGTCTTAATCGGAGTTCTCAAATCCTGATTATAGTCGGACTAAGGTGTTTACATGCACTCCAGTTGTCCGGTCTTAATCTGAATAAGGCAATAATTCGTTTTTCTCAAGCGGCATGTAAACGTGCTAAGTGATAGGCCAAAAACAACAGGCAAAAAAATATTTTATGGTAACTGATCTGAAAATGTCAAATTTTGTTCAGACTTCACAATGAAAGATCTGATGTCCAGCAACTCCTGGAAAAATGAAACAAATTGAACATTTTCAGTGAATGAGTTTGGTGACACCAAGCTAGGATTTCAACAGAGTGTAACCTGAGAAGTGTAACCTTAACCACCAACTACAGACATCACTTTAAACTGACTCTGGTTTAGTTGATGAAAACAAGCTGAATCAGCACTTCATTACTACAGCTTTTCAAGGGTATAAAGTGAGGTGGCTACCACTCAACCAGGCTCAAACTTCTTTGACACTGGAGTCTCAAGGTGTTCAAATGTAGAAAACAGGACATCCGCAAACTTGTTGTTGTCCTCAGGTCGGAAGCAAATCTTTAAATTTTTAGTTTTTCATTATCATCAGGACACTTAAAACTGAAATATTGAACCTGTTACTGGTCGTTCAGTTCAACAGCTTTCTGTCTTTAGGAGATCTGTAGAGCATTCAGCCGGATAAGCAGCTAAATGTTCTACAGATCTATTTCTGTATGTCTCACAAATCTATGAACAAATTTACAGGGGCAGCAACATGAGATATTAAACTTTTATGAGAATCAAATATAAAAACCGCAATACAAGCCACAGCTGTGGATCCTTATCAACGCCGGAGGGTCGTGCTCCGAGAGTCTGCGGTCCTGCAGAGAGACTTGATGACATGGCGTATAGAAAGACAGAAGTGCAGATGGCTTGGCTTGGCTCTCCTTCCTGCCTCCTGTCCCCTCTAATTTCCATACTTTCATTCATTCTTCTCATTTATCTCCTTCCCTTCGTCTTTTCTTGGACTTATCTCAAACTCTAAGCCGTTCAAGTACTTTAAAAAAAACAGATTTTCACATATTTGTGATAAAAAATCTTGGTTTGGTTTGGCAGGCTTTGAGATAAAGTCTCTGATGCAATAAAAAAGATTACAACTTTTATGAGCGGTGTTGACAGCAACCTCCGATCCTCTCCAGAAAATCTACAGAACATACTCTCAACAGCTTTGATTGGGAACACTTTGAGAG